ACACACACACACACACACACACTACAGACACACTATCCCTGTCCATCTGATTGCTGCGGGCCGTAGTCTGGAGGAGAGCAGAGTAGCAGTGAGTTTTGCATTATTGAGCAGAAGCTGACAAACGTACAACTACCGCTACAGTAGCTACAGCAGAGCTGACCAGAGCATTAAACAGTGTCTGAGCCCCACGCTGGACGCACACTGGAGAGCTGAAACTTCTTCTGAGTGCCAAAGGTGATGAATTAAGATATAACCAGCATTTTAATGTTGTAGCAGGATGATGTGTGGCTTATTACATTATGTCTTTATAATATAATTATTTTATAAGATGATCATGTTTATGTGATGAAAATGAACAGACCAGTGATGAAACATTTTCATCACTGGTCTGTTATGAAGTTTTCTAATAGTTAGTTATTAGTCAGTTGGCAGTAAGTAAGCATTTAGGTACTGTAGATCGTTAGCAAAAAAATTTATAGACTCATACAAAAGTAATCCCTCTCAATCATCAGTCATATTAATCCACAGAGACCCTGCCCTCTCCCTGTTTCTTTCTTCTTTTATTCTATTTTTGCTGCATTTGGGACATTCCTGGGCACAGTGCACAGGTGAGGTCAGGATTTTAAGAAAAGGTATCCAAAAGGAGGCTACAAAAATCATGAACACAGAAAAACAAAGAAATTGGAATGCCAAGTGGACAAAGCTGGAGTTGGCCTACACTTTCACTTTTGCTGGTGAAACTGTGGATAACCAGTAGCCAACAATTCCTGCATAGTACCTTTGACTTATTATTATGAAGTAAATGTTGATTGCTATATGTAACGGCTGTGAAATAATGACATCGTCAGCGTTAGATTGGTTCCCTATTGCCTAGCTTTAATGATGCAATTTTGTCTGCATCAGGTACAATCTCTTGGGAAAATGAAGGCTCAAAAGGAAGTGCGTCAACCACTGCACAACCAAAAGAGGTTGAAGAAAGCGCTTTTGTTTTTGTAGTTACTATCCCCAAACTGTGGTAGTTGCGAGGCTTAGAGGAAAACTCTTAGTGTCAGTGGCAAAATAAAATGCCTTGGAAACATTAGTGGGGTAAAAGTTGAAAAGTCTTCTCTTTCCACTGTAAATATCCAAAATATAGCAAACATCTTTCACTAACACATATACAAACCAGAAAAATACATATTATCGTAGCATATAGGCTATATTGATTTAATGGAATGTATGTCTATGTACAAAATTTAAATATATTTTCCACTAAATAGCAGAGCAAAGAGAGACATACACTGCTTACTGTAATTTGTCTCCTTTTTACTCATCTCGTGGACTTTCTGCAGGTAACTGGCTGACTTAAATGTTTCCTAGGTGACTACCCAACCCAGTCTTTGTCCATGATCCATTTAAACAAAAAAATAAAACTATGCTTTTTGTATTAATAAACAATATACTGCATGGCTCCCAATAAAAAAAATATGACAGAAAACAAAATGGAACTAATTTTCATACCATTATTTGACACATTGGACAAGTCCACATTCCTTCTTCCAATTGAAAATACTGTCCTGGTTCAAATTAAGAAGTAAAATACTAGATGATAATCTATGCATCATCATCTTCATCCTCTGTGTGTGTCCATTGTGTTTAGTTTAGAGTCACCTCACCTCCACTTTTTATTAATTTCTAGAGCACATAGTAAACAAGGATCAGCAAGAAAGCAGCATCTAAAAACAAACACCTCCTCCTCCTCTCTCTTTCTCTCTCTCCCTTCACACTGTCTCCCTATTTCACACATAAACCTCCCACACATAACAGACTTAGTCATGTGTAGCCTTTAGTCTGGCACCCAGGGTTCTCTGTGTGTGCGTATGTGTGTGCACACATGTGCACAGCCATTTAAATATTTGAATTTGCCTGATGTCACTGTCCTGTGTCATTAACAGGCCTGTAACAACAGAGGTAAACGACAACCAAAAAGCTAAGGAGGGAGTCATTTTAACAGGAGGGACACCGCATCACCAACATCTCAAATACAGACGTATGACTGCTTTTGTTTATAGAAATATGTAACACCGTTGCTATATACTGACAGAACATCTGATGTGTGATTTATTTCTTGGCATGAAATGGCCAGATATTTTTCTGTGAACTCCCCCTGCCAACATTTTATTTGGTTTCCTCCACCTGACCTTGAATGGCAGCAGGAAGTGTCCCAATCCAACTGTCAGCTTGGATCAGACACTAGCTGCTCACTCGGTTTCACACGTGGACACAGACAGTTCTCTGTCATACATGCAGGCGCGCACACACACACACACACACACACACACACACACACACACGCATTCATGCACACACACACTCTCTCACAAACACACACGCACACAGAAGCTAAACTAGAGCTTTCAAAACGGCCTCAGGCCCACTTGCACTTTAACGTGCACAGCTTTGTGCCACAAATTCCCACAAAAACACACAGTGCTCTAACACACACGCGCGCGCACACTCCCACGCAGAAAACATGGACAGACACACACATACAGACATATTTCAGCTTTTCAGTGTGTTCATGAACTCATACAGTTTTGTTTCAGAATCATTACAACTGTTTGATCAGAACCAAAAGAAAGAGTCTACCAGCAAGGATAAGACTTCATTAAAGGAATAGTTACACATTTTGGTTTGCTTTCTTACCAGGCTTAAAGGGATAGTGCACCCAAAAATTAAAATTCAGCTATTATCTACTCACCCATATGCCGAGGGAGGCTCAGGTGAAGTTTTAGAGTCCTCATATCCCTTGAAACCACAAAATATCTCCATACTGCTCGTCCGTAGTGATCCAAGTGTCCTGAAGCCCCGACATAAAAAGTTGTTTGGAAAAACCTCATTTGAACTGACACAAAAAACAGAGTTCAAATGAGGTTTTTCCAAACAACTTTTTATGTCGGGGCTTCAGGANTGCATTAGGTGGAGTTGTGTTGCTACCCACTCCCCCCTGGGATCTCCGCAAGGGATATGAGGACTCTAAAACTTCACTTGAGCCTCCCTCGGCATATGGGTGAGAAGTTAATAGCTGAATTTTCATTTTTGGGTGCACTATCCCTTTAAGACAAAGACCAGAAACAGGGGAAAACAGATGGCATGGTTCTGTCAAGAGGTTACATAATCTGCCTACCAGCAGCTCCACAAATTAGTTATTCTTTAAAGCTTGTCATTTGCTGAAACTGTCACTATATTCTGAAGTACCTGAGATGCACTGAAAACAACCAATCAGAGCTGAGGAGTCTCTGATGCAGCTGACAATGGTCAAACTGTCAAACTAAGCAGCGCTGATCAAATATGAATCAAAATTCTGTTATTGCATTGCCTGTTTCTCTCCCCAAATGCTTTAGAGACATGTTTTAGTGCACTGTTTAGCTGTAAAATGAGAAAGTTTGTGACCCGGCTGCCATATTGGAAGCAGTTGACTGAAGTGCCAAGCACTGCCTACTAGCCCGACCAACTTTCTGACCGCAGTTTACGAGCAGGGATTGACATGACTGACAACTGGGTTAGCGACTCCTCAGCTGTGATTGGTTGTTGTCGTTCACATGCAGTAAGGCCATTAGAGGCACTACAAGACAACAGAATAGGCAGATGAGTATAATTTTTTTTCACAGATTATTTGTCTTATTGTATGAATACAGTGACAGCTTCAGCAAAAATGAAAAATGTTAATTCTTATAAAAGTTACCAGCTGCAGCTTTAACATGTTATGTCTCCTTTGTTCAATCTGTATAAAACCTGAAGTGAAAAATGACAATAGGAGGATATGTGCCGGACTGGTTCTTGGCCAGGAGCAGTAACTTCCTGGAGTCACTGCTGGTTGCCTGGCAACTGCTCCTGTTTTTACACTTCTGTTTTTGTATGGCTTTGTATGGCAAAAAAACAAGACATACACTGTTAATTAATGAGCTTTAGAGGTGCTGCTAGGTAGATTTTGTCATCTTCAGACATTGCCAGGCTACCTGTTTCTCCTGTAACCAGTCTTCCACTTCCTTCGCATTAGAGTGAATAAGCATGTTTTCCAGAATGCTGATCTACTCCTTTAATGCAACAAGGACTTTGAAAGACTTGCTTTAGAAAAAGGAGACTGTGACGGTGAAATCTTAGAGGTACTTAAAAGGTAAAAGGTACTTTTAACACTATTATTGATATTCTCATAAGAATTTGACATTTTAAAGCAGGAACTTACCACATGAAGAATCTTATTCTCTGTCTCATACACAGTGCAATCCTGTAAAATGAGAGGAAGGAACAAAGAGACAGAAGAAGAAAACATGAGATGGAGAAAGCATCTATGTGAACATCCGCAAAGAAGCTCAAATATCTCCCTCCTCCAAATATAACTACCAGGAAAGACGGATATAAGAGAAATGAGACGGGAAACAGGAGGGAAGATAGATGACTTCTTTTTCAATAAAGAACATCAGCAGTCAGCTATTTCATTTCTAACCATCCACATTATGCATATTACTTTATAATCTACGCAGTCTAAAACACTGGATTGACCAGTTCTGGATCCACTCAGTTGCCTGGAGCTGCACGAGCCTCCGCAGGATTTATAAACTACATTATTTGAACATGACAGATTGTTATTTAACGATAGCTGATAGTTAATCTATTTCTGGGAAAGCAGCCCACTGAATCCACCAGATGTGCATGGTAGCAGTTAATTCATCTGTTTGATGCATTAGTGCAGGCGGTGCTGCCACCTTTGTCTGTCTCGCTGCACCCTGGCAGCCACATGTTCATTTGGCCCATTGTGGACCCACTGTGGCCCTCTTTCTCCTCCCTCTCCTCTTGGCCCTTGTAGGAGGGGATGGGTGTTATCAGCTCGGCTCCAGGACTCACTCCGGGCACACGTACAAACACACTCTCACACACTCTAAGCAGGCTCTTACAGGGAGGACGTGGATGGGGTCCAGGAGAGCAGACATACTTTCTGTCCAAACAATGAGATTTCTACAGTATCAGTGTGTGTGTGTGTGTGTGTGTGTGTGAATGCATCTCCAGTTTTATTTTTCTCTAAAGTGCATTTGTGTGTGTAAGTGTGGTGAATCTACACGAGGGAGCGAGCCACAGGGGGAGCAGAAGGAGGACGGGAAATGAGGGGAGGAGACACCCCTGGTTCATTCTCCATCAGCACCCACAAGTTAAGCAGAGGATGTGGTCTAACAGTGAGTCAATGAGAACTTTGCCTAAGGCTATAACTGAGAGCTAGTCGTCCCATCAGCCATGCTGCAAACAGTCTGTGGCAGTGGGCATATGCTCCACTCATAGTCAAATCTATAGAAATGAGCTCCAGACCAGAACAAGTATTGATGCTCCCAGTCCAAACCCACTTTAGTTTTGCTGTTTCTATTCAAAATCATTATCTTTACTGTGTCAGTGTAATGAATGTATATGGATGTGATGGATTGTGTGATGCATGCGTTCTGTATGTTTGTGAGTGAGGGTGAAAGCACCTGTTGTACGATGGTGGTTAATTCTAGGCAGAGCTGCACAATGTTGTTCTTCAGTAATGAATACTCTGTCACACTGGCGAACGGAGACCTAAAACAGACAAAAAAAGAGAGTTCATGATATGAGAAATTAAAATATGGAGAACTTTGGTAAAACATTGGATAATGCACTGGTCATCTTGTTCTACATTTTGTTATTGTTTTCATCAAATGCCCCAGTTTGGAAAAGGAGCATAGTGTTTATCCCTCCGGGGTGAATAGGTCTCAAAATCACACTTAAATGAATGTGAGCAAAGCATATTTGGTCATTCTATTAAAAAGTGAGTTCCTTGACTATATTTTTGGAGGAGTTCTTTTTTTATATTGCTCTTTTTATTTTGTTTTGTTCAGTGTATTTGCTAACTGTGTGATTTTAAAAGCTGTGACCGAGTAGTGAGCGAGAGCAATAAAAGCGATTCTCTGCTCCTCTCAGAACACACGAGCAAATGATAAAGACAAACAACAATATTTGGTTTTATATCATGGCCAGAAGGCTACGCAACCCAAGGATCCACTAAAGCTCAACATCGCTTTATTTGTGTTTGTTCTCAGATTCATACAGTCCCATCAGCTGATCTAATTTCACAGTAACAACATAAAGACATCCTTCCTTACCCATCTATGAATTGTGTTACTGTATGAGGCATAAAAATAACAGGAAATCCTGGTAATATAATGCAGTTCCAAAAAGTTTATTATGTTCAATATCTGGTGAAACTTCGTGGAGGGAGATTGTAAGGCGTTCCTGTTATATTGTCCACTGCCTGGTGTGCTCTGTTTAGTTAAAGGTCCCATGTTGTATAGAGTCCATGTCTTTATTAATGTAAAGCAGGTATAGGTGCTGTATGAATACTGTGAAACTATCAAAATGCTCAATCTACAGTGAGATGTACACAATCTGTATTCAGAAACTGTGCCTTAAAACGAGCCATTAGGACTTGTGTGAAGTTGTGATGTCACAACTATACAGACCTTTTACATTCCCCATGAGTCCCTTTGTATTTCCTGTTGGAATGTTTGTCAGTGTATGTGAATGCAACAAACATGGATCCAAGCTGTTCCCTAGAAATTCAGTTGTTGTGATTCAGGCTAACAACAATCACTTTGCGGTAGATTACTGGCAATAGATCTGAATAGATATGTGAAATCTGCAAACTTGTTGTTTATATCTGTCGTCGTTTTCAGACGTAACTATAACGTTTAATGATATATAATTAAACGCGGTGGTCCGATCAATCTAATGTTTCGGCTGTTGCTCATGTTATGTACTGCGCTTCTTTGCTAGTGTCTTTGATATAACCAAATCTGCCAGCATGGAGGCTAAGTAATGTACTGTTGTGAATGAGACTACAGCAAAATGTATTTAACCACCTAATAATAGTCCCACCAAAAAAAATACCTTAAATGTAAGTGTATGCTGTATCTGGAATATTGTAACCATTTTACCTTACACATGAACTGATCAAGGCAGCAGTAGACCAGCAACTGAAAATTCCATTTGGTGGCTTTAAGATAATGGCTTCAGTTCCCTGTTGGAAAAGGCTGTCTGACACTGCGATAAAGTGGTGAAAATTTTCTAAATATAGTGTACACTCAAACTGATATTGATTCTTTAGGTGGGACTTTTATAAGGTAGTTAAAAACTTACCATTTGAGGCAGCATCTGCTGTGCGCCATCTGACTGTATATGACGCTGAGGTCTTCTACCCGGAAGTTACCGTTAACAAACATTGTGAGTCAGTCTATAAAGATAGAAAGTGATGCTTCAGTGTTGTCACAGTCATTCCCCCATCGGCAATGAGGGCGCAAAGATGACAAGAGCGCAAATGTGGGAGACCCGGAAACACTGACCAATCAGAGCAGACTGGGCTTTTTTGTGAAAGGGGCTAAAAGACACAGGCACTTAAACGGAGGGTCAGAGGCTGAATGCAGGCGCATTCAGAAAGACAGTATGAGAAAAATGTTGTTTGTTTTTACATTAAAGCATGTAAACATGTTCTACTGGAAACCCGATGGGACCTTAAAGTGACTGCTTTCTAGTAAAAATGTATAGATTTAGATTTCTTTGTGATCCTTACTTGATGAAAAATAGGCATAGTGTCCTAAATGTTAAAGGTCAAACTCCCAAATTCATTGTACAGCCTCAGGTGTGTTCGCTACCTGTCGAGCCAGGCTAGCAGGTTCTTGGCTGCACCAATCAGATCCACCACCGAGGTAAGGAAGTCATTGGGTAGCCTCCGGGAAGCTCGTCCATCGTAGTGGCCGCCCCTCCGCCGGCCCAGGATGAAGTTCTGGAGGTTCTTTGCCGAAGCGTTCAGCTTGTGGGACAGAGTCCGGAGGTTTTCCGTCTCTAGGCCGTAGTTCTGGTGGACAATCAGAGGGACTCATTTTAGAAGTACATTCACGTACTGTATATATTTTGTTGCTGTCTGTGTGGACATTGTGCAAGATGCCATTGGTTCAAGGTTACCTGTGGCAGTGATTTGTCTGATCAGAGGTTAAAGAAATAGTTTTCCAGTGTGGAATCTCTCTGAGAGTTAGATGAGAACATAGATACAGCTCTCAAACATGAGATGGGCATCAATCTTCTCATCTTACTCTCAGCAAGCAAGAGATTTCCCAAAATGCTGAATGACAGGTTTATAAAAACCAGTGTATCTACAAAGAAACATGAAAGAGTAATGTGAAACCACTGCAATATATTTTGGAATAGATACAACATAGCTACAGTCTAAATAAGGCTTACCTTCCCACAAGTTTTATAGCTCGCGCAAAAGAAGTATCAACTGTGATTTAACCATAAATGGTGCATCTGAGTGAAATGGACTGAAATTAGAAATTACTATATCTGACTATCCATTAGCATTTTCATATAACAGCCACTCTCCACACTAATACAAGAACACAAAAGCTGGTCGAGTAGCCCATTACTGCACTGTGACCCTTTTAAATAAACACACACACACACACACACACACACACACACACACACACACAGACCCACTGAGCCACATTGCACTCAGCATCCCAAGGCACCTCCAGTCATGTCCTGCCTGACAGAGCCTGATTCCTGCTGACATAAAGGCTACACACACACACACACACATACACACGCACACACACACACACACATGCACACACACGCACTCACACACACATCCTTGTATAGTCAGATGCACAGGCTTAGCTAGACGTATCTATTCCTCCTCTGCCTCTAGATCTATTCTACACAGTCACGACCACAGTGACTACAAAGGAGAGAGGGTTTCACAGTGGCAGCAGAGAGAGAGAGAGGGAACTGAGGAAGAAGACAAGAGGGAGAGAGGGGGAGAGAGAGCACCCAACTATGCATCTCACTGAAACTGGGTCATGCATACACTGCGTTCTGTATATTCTTCTGTATTCTGTGAGAACGTGGATGTATACATGAACTTGGAGCAGCACATGTTTGCACAGCTGTAATTAGCCTATCCTATGATTCGATCTAAAGCTGTGTGCGTCTCTCTCCAGGGGACAGAGCGCTGAGATGAAGCGGAGGAATAATGCCCCGTGTTGACTGTCTGCTTGTATGTGTGTGCAGAGAAAGAGGGAGAAATAATTTGAGCAGTGCATGCATGTGTGTGTCAAATCAATACAATAAGAGGGCGATGCCATTAAGCAACCCCCCCTTCCCTTCCCTCCACCTTCGTGTCGATGTGGTTGCCATAGCAGCCATGTGTGGAGTGGCCTCTCCTCTATGCTGATATTGCTATCATTGTTAACAGAATCACACTCAAATGCTGTTAATGCAATGTTTGGGCAAAAAGGAAGACTTCACCATTTGAAACTATCAAAATGCTCAATCTACAGGGAGATGTACACAATCTGTATTCAGAAACTGTGCCTTAAAA